GTCATGCTTTCTGATCGAGTGAGAGCGCAGATAAGAGATGAGTGATCGAGGGGTCCAGGATCTGCAGGGTGGTTTATGGTTAGCTTCTGGGGAAACGGCAATGAACGTCGCGGGGAAGGCGGGGATGGAGATGACGGTACCTGGAAGAGCTCGCCGGAGGTGGCCTTATTAGTAGAGCTTTGATCGGTAAGAAATCCAGTAATGGCTTTAACATGGTTCCTGGCTGCCTTGTCATACACCTTGTCCGTCGTGTCCCCGTCGGGTGGGAAGGCCAGGAGATACTCGACACTGGTGACCATGATGCCCTGCATTGGTGACTTTGATCGTGCGGTGTTGGTGGTCAGCCCTGGATGTGCCGTCGGTCGAGGGCACGCCGAGACTCCAGGCTCTACAATCTGTCGCTTAGTGGTCTCAGACAATATCTCTGGGTGCCGAATCGAAATGGGATGGTAACCGAATCGTAATGTTGCTCTCGCACGACTCAGGACGGTGATGTGCACGCCGTGACTTCTAATTGAGTAGCTACGTGAAGGCACTGGCAAGTAGGCAGCTTGATGAAGCTCCAGCTTAGTCAGTGACCAAACGCACTTGCTATGCCTTGCGTCGTGAGGCAACCCCGCGCTTGCGCTCGCCGGGTGGAGGAAGGGACTCCTGATGATACAGTTAGTCAGCAAGCACTATATAACGTAGCCCTGCTGTGGTCACCAAAAATAGCGAGTGTGTGTGGTGTTGGTGCATTTGGCTTAGTTCGTGGCCGACGTGCCTCCAGGGTTACACTGTGTATGAAATGCTGACTTGTCATGCCACCTGGACTCCCTTCCCACCTGGCGTGAGAACTCAATTGTGGGGCTTCTCAAGTTGTTCGATAAGAGGCGGGTGCTTGTCTGGGACCAAAAGTCCATGACGTTATGTAATCCAAGGGTTGCACTAAATAATGCATACTGCGATCCTGCACTAATTTACTGCATATCATTTCCACTGGGTTAGCCGATCGGTCCAATCAAACAGATCCATATTCCAAGCAGCTTTCTGACGACTTTGAACGTCTAGTCTGTTCAGTGACAGCGACAGCTTCAACGAACCCCCCCCTCCTTCAATTGCCATTGAGCACCACAACCACAGCCATGGCGTCGAAACTCACACCCTTCCTCTTCAGAACGGCTGCTCGGTCAACATGCCGCATCGCGAGGCCACAGATTCGCGCCATCAGCACGTCGACGGTCCGCCCGAGCAGCACCCTCCAAGTGGTACGTCTGTCTCCTAGATCCATCCTCGCCACGATATGCCACGGCACGGGAGGGACAGGGCAGGGCGCTTCGTCAATGGGTCATTGTCTATGTCTATGCGATGCTAAACGTCCTCCCGCGCCTCGGCCGCTGCCAACCTCTCCCCCCCTTCCGCCCGTTCCCGCGAAAGCCGCGCTGACCCGTCGTTCGCCCACAGCACCGCAACACGGCCGACAACAATGTCGAGATTCCCTTCAAGTTCACCCCGCAGAATGAGGCCGTCATCGCCGAGCTCCTCAAGCGCTACCCTCCCCAGTACAAGAAGGCCGCCGTCATGCCCGTCCTCGACCTTGGGCAACGTCAGCACGGATTCACCTCAATCAGCGTCATGAACGAGGTGGCCCGCATCCTCGAGATGCCTCCGATGCGCGTCTACGAAGTCGCCTCCTTCTACACCATGTACAACCGCACGCCTGTCGGCAAGTTCTTCATCCAGGCCTGCACAACGGTACGTCTTGCTTGTTTTCGACCTGTCTCCCACAATAGCCAGCGAGCTATCTCCGAGCCCCCTTCGACGTTCGAAGATGTTGCCTCTCCTTCCCCCTTCCATCCCACGACAACAAAAAAACTGACAAGCGTTCTCTCCTCTCCTCTAGACCCCCTGCCAGCTCGGCGGCTGCGGCTCCGACGCCATCGTCAAGACGATCGAGGAGCACCTCGGCATCAAGCAGGGCGAGACGACGGCCGACGGCCTCTTCTCCTACCTCGAGGTCGAGTGCCTCGGCGCCTGCGTTAACGCGCCCATGGTCCAGATCAACGACGACTACTACGAGGACCTGACCCCCGAGACAACCCGGCAGCTCATCGATGCCCTCCGCGCCAGCGTCTCCATTGTCAACGGCGAGGCTACCGTCGACCACGCCAAGGTCCCCAAGCCCGGCCCCATCAACTCGGGCCGCCAGACGTGCGAGAACAGCGCCGGCCCCCACGAACCTGACTAGCGAGCCCTGGGGCATCGAGACCACGAGGAGTGATCTGTAGGAGAAAGGCGCGCCAGCATTTGGTGAGACGCATCGTGTAGGTTGATGGATCAGAACGTGCGACAACTGGCGGGGGAGCGAAAGGGTCCCGGTTTTTAGGAATTGTACATAACCTAGGTCGAGACGAGAACTGCGTGGAAAATGCAATGCGTTTAGAATCCCTCTTTGTATTCAAGATTTTGTCCCACAAATTGCTCGCTACTTGTTCTCCATGATATTTTTTATCCCCTTTGGTTCACCTCAACTGCATGGGTTGAAACTCGGGTCAAGCATGTCTCGCTCTCACTCGCCCAAACGCAAAATCCATCCATCGGACAAATGCCTGTTGCCAGACCCAACGCCGCCCCAGACCAAGATGCCCGATTCTTCCAGCTCGCCCATCGCCGCCGTGGCAATGTAGCCTCGCGGAAGCGGCTCACCATCGTCGTTGTCGTCATCATATGATCCCATCTGCAGTCTGTTCCATTTGCCCTCACCTGTCGGTTTACCCAGAGCCTGCCACATGGCGTCCCGCACGCTCGCGGCCGTCATACCTAGAGGCGGCACCTGGAATGCCCACACGTCGTTAAAGAAGGACGTTGTGGTTCCTTCGCGACCGCGTTCCGCAACACCGTCAGCAGCCTCGCCACCCACGAGCAAGAGGTACTCGCGACCCGCACCGCTCGTGACGGTCTCCAGCCCAGCAAAACCTCGAGGCGCAGGCCATTCCTGGGCAGCAACTAGAGGAATTTCCGTCTCGCCACCGGATGCACCGGCGACGATGCCCTGCCAGCCGCCGCGAGCGCGAACGCAGACCTCACCACGTGAGTTGCCATCGTCAAACATCTCGACCTCGAGATGCACAAAGTCGAGCTGGCCGCCGATCGGGCCAGAGCCGTCATGGCCGCCGAAGCGGAAGAGGCGGCTCTTGCTGACGCACATGGCTGCCCCGGCGCGAGCAGGGCCAGGTGCGGCAGGAAGCTCAATCCAGATACGGGAGCGAACGTCAAAGGCCCAGAGATCGCATGCACGCTTTTCCTCGCTGCTGGCAACTTCGGGAGAGGCAATAGATGACGGCGCAACGATGCCGCCGTGGACAAAGAAGGTGCCAAAGCCGTCGGAGTCATCATCAGTTGCATGCAGGGCGACGTTTGCCTACAATGGGGGGCCTGCGGAGTGCCGACCTCGGGCCGAGTCGCCCTGAGCCCAGGCCATCCAAGGTCTGGTTGCGCTTCGGAGCCCGTGAAGCGAAATCACGGGGGCGATCGGTGGCGGTCGCAGCATGG